AACCCTGACTCAAAAGCCTGGCCCGCAAGGCAACGGGAGTTTGTGGTTTCTTTTTCTTGAGGAACCCCAGCAGGAGCCTTCAACTCAAGAATTCGACCCACAAGGGACGTAGATACAAAGCACCCATGTGGAAGCTTCTAGAGGCCTATCACGCAGAGCCTTCGGTTCCAGGTCCAAAGAGTTGTTCGGTGGTGCATTGATTGATGATCCGCTGCTCGGGATCTGCCCTTTGTCTCATTCACCCAATGAGATAACCCTAGCATCAACCGAACAGCTAATTACCTCAAATCACGCAGATTGTTTTTGCTACATATCCTCAGCATGACGGATGTTAGGGAGCGTCCTTAATTAATTCTACTGTTATACTTATGAAGATATCGGTCGATATAACATGTGCTTCATTCGTTATGTGCAGAATAGTGGGTCGGTATTCGGTCAACAAACTGATCGAAAAGTGTACAAGATCCAGAAATCCACCAGAATGGTCAGGCTTTCAAATCGGATCATCCAAGTGACCATTATTCTTAGGAATCTGTCATCAACCCTCATTTACGGACACTGGCATACACACACATGTACATCAGCATATACACAACGGCTGTTATGACATTTCCAGGCCAAAATACGTGACAATAGCCCCGATCGGGGTCGCTGTGATTGGTTTGCACCGAAATCCGCAGTTCGGGGGCCAAACCGTGCCACTCGTCACACACCTTCAGAGGTTGACAGCTGCATTGCTACTCGGTCGAATGCCACGCCCGTTCTAGTTGGGATTCAAACAGTTTACCATCTCAAGTCAGTTCCCATAACTAAAAAGTAGGTTCTCGCTAAAACGGAGCTTACGCTACCTGCTGCTCACCACATAACGGCACGCAGTGAAAAAGTGAAAACATCGAAGGTGATGATTTCTCGATTATCAAAGAGGTAAATGTGGAACATCAAATAGTTTATGTTTATTTGTAGACAACTTGCCGAAAAACTGGGAGAAGGTCAACTTTAGTCATTCACGGTGAAAATCGCAAAAACGGTTTGTAGTTTGTTAACGTATTCCTTAAGGAACAGTATAACGCACTTTCCGCACTGAAATGCCGTATTATTCTCCAAAAGGTTTCACGTTCAAATGTGAGCCTTGTAATAACTTTAGTTGTGATTTATCAAATATCAACAGTAGCAACAATACACAATAAAGAGAAGACACAGCTGATACCGGAGTGGAGTGATTCAGGAGATAACCAACACGATCCAAAAAAATACGGTCGACCTAGTCAGTTCGATTTGTCGGAACTGCAATTTTCTGCATAGAAACACACACATAAGTCTGTTATTACATTGTCAACTCAATTTCAGTTTGCATTCGGAACCAGGGAAGTTTGGAAGTATGAATGTGATGCGAATTATCGGTATTCACCGATTCAACGAGCTGGACAAACAATTAGCAATCGTTTCATCACCATCTTACTATAGTATTCTATTGTTCGCACCCTGTTTCGTAACTAGACCGATGCATGGGGAATCGCATTGATTTATTTCATCATCGAACAGGAATCCTAGAGCTTATGAAGATCGCGTTACCACGTGGATACCACGTTAGATACTAAACGAGATCCAGTTGAGGTGACCTGAAATGGAAAAATCCAAATATTTTTTAAATATACATTTTAGTGCGATGAACAGCAGGCGAGGCAAACCTCATAGTCACGAGGATCTGCTGTTCAGTGATGGAAACCCAGGCCCCGAGACTTTGGGTGGCGAACCAAATAAGACCCATCTAGGTCAGCCGTGTTTTTGAACCGGACGACAGCAAACCTTCCTACTACCAAGGTTGGGTGGCGAGGCTCGAACCTCAGACCACAGGAGCCAGAGCACACTGGTGACAGCAACTAAACCACTTAGATACTAGTATGGTTAAAATTAGTTCTCCAGTCTCTACTGTGATTTCAGCACTAGACGACGACGACGACTCCGATCGGTCAGGTTCAGATAAAACTTTCGCGTTAATCATACGTGATCCATTGTGGAATACAAAGCTGGAATGCAGAAAATCAACCAGTTGTTGAGGTAAACGCAATAAGAACAAGTTATTGGAGTGTATTTCCGGACCATAAAATACCTAGACAGACTAAGTGATATAAATCACCACTCAAGCAAACCGTGGGCAATTTGGCTGATAGCAGACAGAGGGCGATGAGAGAATTACACATGCTCTTGTTGCTCTAGGCTCGGGACACATGTCAACACACACGTGCGTGTTTTGGACAACAGTAAGGAAAGATACCGACTGGTTGAAGGTGATAGCGCTACTAAACGCGTTCTCGAGGAGTAGGTCGAATTTTGTTACAGTTGCCGTGAGACCCGGAGCTGGAGCAACCCAGCCATGTAACAAAGGTTGACATTTAAAAGATGCAAAATTATATGGGAAATAGTTAGAACATTAACTGACTCATACAGAAAACCTTACAACTTGCCTAGGATTTCCCTTAACAGTATAATGTCATCTGAATACTTTAGATCAGATAACTCACCATTTAGGAGTAAGTGGAACCCGATTTCGTCGTATGAGAACAGAGCTGTTCCCAGAATCCTATTCATTACAAAATTGAATAGAAAATGAGAAAGAGCAACCCTGACGATCACCGCTTTCCGTAGCGGACTCTAACGAAACAGAGACCTGAGCAGAATACGATTTCAGCTACTGGCATAGAGGGTAATATTGAGAATAAACTTTTCTGGTCCTACCGAAGGATAGGTAGCAGCAGAGTACAGATGCGTCGAATAAGTCGAAGGCCACTTTTAGATCGAAAAAAACAGTTGTGGGTTTACTGAAGGAATGGATGTGTTCTGGAGTTTGGCAAAGGCAACCTCGATCAGGTCAAAAATCAGTCTTGTTCATAAGTGTGCAACCTTTAAGAGCGACAGACAATCGACAGAGTATACCTGCGGGAAACCCGGAGAGTATGTTAATCAAACAAAATCTGCTGTGGTTTTCACAAGAGGATCTGTCGTCTTTCTTGTGACTCGGAAGGATGACCGATTTATACCATTCAGTTGGAACTTGTTCCCTCTCTCATCATTGAGCCCAGGAATTTCGTCAACTCTAGTACCAAGGTTAACCCTCTATCCTTAAAAGCCAATGGAGGCAACCATTCAAAATCGTTTATTTTCCGGATGACCTGGATTTCAGATGGAGGACTGATATCAACTGGCAGTATTTGCCCAATTGAGGCATGGGTTGACAGGTCTAATATCGACAAGTGCCGGTTGATCTGAGCCTAAACATTTTCACCCCCAGTGGTAAAGACAGTATTATTGAATATGAATCAGTGTGCAGTCGCATTCCTTCATTTTCTCAATTATGCTTTGATTTCGTGGATCGGTATCCTTAATTAAACAGAAAAGATTGTGATTGAGGTGATGACGATGTTCTGCCTCGAAGGTTAGATCATACCAAACTGGATTATATTTATTTTTTTCACTGGTTCACCAAGTGGTTAACTAACCACAAGACGGTTACCAAAGTTAATAGTGATACAGAGTGAAAAATAAATTACTATAAAGTCGTCACTAACACCGCTTTGTGCGGGTTTCGGAGTCAATCGGTACAGCAGTGAGGTGTCCGACTGTGTGTGTGAAATAAACGTACCATGTGACACACGGCGAAATGCAGTTGTGGAGTCGTGATCAGACTGAAGCACAAGCACAAGCCGTGCATTGCCTCCACGCCTTCCCGCACCTCGTCGGCCAATTGCGGTGAGCTGTCTCTGGTGTCGTAACCGACTAGGACACGAGGGGTTGATTCGGCTGTCCAAACAAAGAGAGAGATCATCCGAAATCAGTAAGGTTTTAATCGTTCAATGTTTGTGGACTATTCCGCCGTAGGAAAAGTGACCAGCAAGTCACTCTGAAAACGAAACAAAGTGTACTGAACTTTGGGCGTTAAAACTGAACATGAACGAAGAATAGGGAAGCTGCCTGCATTGCATAAAAAGTTTGAGAATAATTACAGGTATTGACCAAACTCGTGCAACACCTTGACTTTCATCACATTTTTCCTCTCGACTTTTAGTTTTCCCATCATCATTCACGGGATTGAATATGATATCGACCCAAATCGGACGCAACATATTCGCAAAAATTTCCACCTATGAATTTGCTTCTGTTAGTTGAATGCCAACAAAATATATGATTTCTCGATTTTGACGATGAGTGTTGGTGCATCAGTTGTAAAACAACAAAACCACAGTAAAAAATCCAAATAACCCATAGACTTCATACAGGTATCGTACTTTCATCTTCTTGTTTTACTTGCCCTTTTTCATTTTTGAGAACTGTAAACAGTCGCTTTTGTATGGATTTAACCATACCAATATAGTATACCGTAACAACTGACGATGCAGCTAACTTATCCCTGTTTCTAACACAGGGAAAGGTTTCCGAATACATTCAAATCCCAACTATTGGGCGGCAATTGACTTGGACATTGGACTTGACCCCTCCAGAAGCGGCATAAATGTGAAAAAAATACTAATCTGTGCGGTCTAATCGTTTTCTACTACCAACCTAAGGCGAGAAGATACACTCACCTTTATCTGTGAAAAATGACTTCAGCGAATGCATTTTGAGAGTGACAGTTATCGAAAACCTTCTTTACCAGTGCAAGAAATTTTGCAATATTCATTCATTCGAAAGAATGAATTTCCGTGACGCTTTGCATAACATATTTTCCAAATCTCAGTTGGAACTTCCGAACTACTACAAATTTTATCGTGACACTCAAGGTCGCACGAATTCAAAGGGTGATAGAAGAGAACTAAGAGCATAGAACTGGGAGATAAAGTCAGAAATAAATACAGGTTACACATAGCCATCAATCAACAAGTATGACATTGGAAACTGAAATGTATTTCCGAAATGAGGGTCATGTTACACGAGTTTGATCGACACCTGGTTTTTCAAAGCAAATCCGAGAAGGAACAAAGACTAAAAACGACATCATTTCGGTCGACATGCTACAAAGACGTGGTTCGATTCAAACAAAAAGTGATCATTCGACAGAATGAATGATAACTATGTTTGAAACAGATGAGTGGCAAGTGTCAAACGAGATCACATATAAGGAGAGATTGAAAGTGCAGTGGGATATTCTGATAAACTAAACCGGTATCGCGTAGTTCCTAAAAGCAACGACAGCTCTTTTCCCTCCAAACGACTGATGCAATCGTAATGGCCAAAGATGAACAGATATGGAGACAGCCTTTAGTCTTTCTCTGCATACTTTAGGAGAGGTATTTCACCCAGGATGAGGCCACTGAATTGGGTGCTTTTCACCTACTCTACCCATAAGCTAACATTTCATTGTCAGATAAGATGTGAGATTTGAACTTGACAATTTTTCACTCAATTTCCGCTATGTGAACATGAGTACCTTCGGTAAAAGCATGCTTGCATAGACAGTTATCACTGACTAATCCTCGGTTGGGTCCCCAAGATCAAAGTGCACAAGTTATCCGTTTGAAACTTGTCATCATTTCGGTGCTCCATGGTTCCTGAAACAGTTATTAGCCTACAGAGTGGCTACTGTTTATCAAACGGGTGGACCTACAAAGTGATGACAAGCATGTCCTCGTGATATGAGCAGCCTATCCAGTGTGGATCTGACTTTGAAAACTGACTGGCGGTGCCTGGAATCAACCGATATAAACGAAAATCATTAGTGTGCCGAGTGGTACACGTGTGACTATTACAGTATAAGAAAAGAACACGGCCAGTGCTATTTGTCGAAAGTTCGTGGAAAGCCGCACGGTTTGGCCTGATCTAAACAAACAATAATCTATGGTGCCCATCAAACGGTTTACATAGTCCATCACCAAGGCAGACACTAGCAAAACAGTTCGATTAATGTCACATCGCATCTTATTTTCACCCCGTTGCATATGCATTAGTTTATTCGCACGTGTACATTGTAATGTGATGTTCACATTATCCATTCACGTTTTAAACGGATCCATACTCAAAACATTTTGATGCTTTGACGCTTGTATCAGTATCACACTGGCGCAGTCATTCTGTACCCAGCTTTTGTTCGAGTCAGACACCCATCAAAATTGTAATTGGATGCGCTGGGTCCAGATATTTGTTCCTGAGGATTACATTTGAACAAAAACGCTCAGCGGGAAATTAGGGAATGATGAAACCGAGTGCTACGAGACACGATGATTCACTGCACTTTGTAGTTACCTGATATCCGAGAAAATCAATGTAGTTATTTATTCACTACGCTTAAATAGGTAAGGTACTAACGGCCTTCATAGTAACACAAAACTGGGGGGGTTAGCAAAAGACTAAAAGAAATGGGTGAATAAATAGTGCTGATATTTTTGTTTTGTTTCTCGTGTGTTGGTTGGCGAGGAAAATTTGGGCATTTATTGTGAACTTTCAGGTCACTGACTTTAAGTTTGAGTAACATATCTTACAGTGATCAACGATACCTATAATCTGGTGGGTAACAGCCGAGCAGAATCAACTAAGGTCAACGTTACCGATCACTGGAGGCCGGGTATAGGGACATCTAAACACCCCCCAGCCTAGTCGTGGATTACGTGATATTGTCACTAGACATAAGTAGTTCGGAGACAACCGATGAGCATCCTCGGTAAAGAGGGACCAAGTTTTACGACCGTAACACAAGAAAACTTCGAACTGGGACCGCGTAAACCCGTCCCTTTAAAGATGTCGTGGTTGTGCCACAGATGCCTCAGGTCGAGAAATATCAAACAGGATCTTTCTACGTTTGATGTGAGTTCTTCCCTAATTATTCTTCCAATTCCGAAGTAAGAAACCTGTCGATCACCTCCAACTGATCACCGGCAAGGGTGATTGCAGTCACCGCATCCTCCCAATCCTGAAAAAGGAATCAGCCCCTTTGGGTAGCAAAGCGCATGACATACCGAGTTACCTCAACCGTCAGGTGAGCCAGTACAGCTTGCTCATTGTCCCTGAGCAAGATGATTTCATTTGCATACTCTTTACTGACGGCTGGATAACTGAACACTGAGTGATCAAGGACATTCTCAAATCTAAAGCGACTCGTTCCACGCGACCAGTCGTGTCCGAACGATTTCGTTTTGCATGTAAGAGAGTGTGGAATAGATTCAAATTCCGACTACTGTCGGTTTGATAAGCCACCTGTTTCAAAGGGACATTAGCGTATGCTAAAATAACTTACGAGTGCTTCCCGAAATTTACACACTGTCCATCACAGATGCGCATTCGCTTCATCGGTGTTGTGTTCCCAATTCGGTAGGTAGATGAGCACACAACGAATTAAGCAGTAAGTTTATTGTAAACAGCAAATATGTAGCCGGTTCACAAACCGGGGAATAAGCAGGAACGATCAACGTGTAGGAAGACAGGCAGGCAAGCCGACACTGGCTCACACGTCACACTGCATGCGAATGCCGTCAAGCCAGGATTCAGTCAGTCGATCGATCAATCGATTTGACCGCAAGCATGTATGAACACAAATCAGTCAGTTGTAGGCCACAACAATCGAATCTCAAGATCTCTGGGTTGACTAGTTGATAGTGCATCTATCTTTCAAGTAAAGACGGGTTTTTTGGTGCCCCTGTCGATCAATGTTGGTTGGCGAGCATCAACTAGATCTGAGATTATTCGACACATTTGATTAGCCATACATTACGTAACAACCGTGAATAGCATTCCGCATCAGCGTCTAGTGAACAGCAATGGGAGGCCTGACACAGCAGGCGCATTCAGGATCTTCACACTCAAAGCCATTTAACGAATGACCTAATTGGGACCGACTGTTGACCACCGCCTGACTCAGCAGTCAGTGCACACCGGCCAAATCTATCCGGGTTTGAAACTGGNGGGTTTGAAACTGGTAAACAGGTAAACATTGTTCACATACCAGCGTCTTCAATTTGAGGCTAATCGAACAAATTTGTCCTTGTCTCTCTCTCTCCATAAAACTGACATGATTATCAATAGTGGTTAATTTGACCACTTTCCCACTACAGGGCCAAGAAGCGGAAGAGAAACCATGAAATGAAATGACGCTATCCACATAAAAAGAACTAGTGGGCAAATTAATTGAGGGAGGACCACAAGCTACAATAGAACGCCAAATGAATAATCGCCTCAGTATAGTAGGTGGTGGGTGCCTTCAGTTGTGACTGGTTACTCATATTTTGCACCTCGCGAAATGGTTTCATATGACTAAACGTCTCAAATAGCCCGTGCTGAAGAAGTCCGACTCGATAACTTCATGTGGTGGTATTTCTCTATCAAAGGGAGAGGACGAAAAGTCAACACACAACCGGGTCGGTGAACTAGTGGTAGTTCAATGACGGATGTTAGTTAAAATCTCTAATTACAAACCAACCAAGAAGAGGAGTACGAACCAGACACATCCGCACACTAAACGTGGCAACAGACGGGGGTTGGACTGGGTATGCAGGTATACTGAACACCTTGGACGTTTGACCTCGTCCTAAGGCTCATCATTTGATGAACTGGATTACGTTTTTCACATTATGATGTTGTCACCATTCCGGCAGATAAAGGCAATGCTATCGCACAGTTGGACAAAACAGAATAAATTGAGAAGATGAAACCACTCATCGGAGACAAGGAAACATATCGACCAGTCAGCGGGAATTTCGTGAAGCAGCTGATGAATCG